ATATGCCCATGTAGTGTGATGTTTCTATTGGCCAAAAGCAAAATATACTTAAGCTAATGCTTTTCTAATGCTAATTCAATTTATTCAAAGCGGTGTTGTGCGTGAAATGGACAAGGACGAGAAGCAAGATAGTCATTACATCTTGAACGAGCAAGGTAACCTATAGTTTTTATTGCGTAATTTTGGTGTACAAATAGTCCTCTTTAATTTGGAGATATTAAAAAAAAATTTATCACAGGGAAAAAAGATATAGCGAAAAGGGTTCACGAAGCCTCTTACTCGATGATGCAAATTAAATTTTAACCTTAAAGGCCCGTCGTCTCTTAAACAAGCACAGTGAACTGTTTTTTTATATGTATATTTCGAAATAGACGTTGGAAGGGAACATTTAAGGAAAGTTTGAAAAAATTGTTCTTTAACTTTTTTTTTCTGAGGAATCACCTTAATCCTGTTGTCTATTCCATGAAACATAGTTAGTGGAAGAGACAAATAAAGGGACTAAATCGAAAAGTTTAATTAGAGCGATGTTCAATTGAGTATCAAAGAGATCAAAGGTTACGTTTGTTTGCTTTACTATTCCCTATGATTGGTCCTTAAAACTCGCGACACTTTCTCAACAAATGTAATGCGTGACTAACAGTAATCTCGACCTGGTCACTCTTGTTTTACCACGCCTGATACTGTTTGCTTGTTTTTATTTATAGGTACTTATACCTGCCACTAATGAAACGTGCGTAAGTGGAGATGTGGTTGCAGCTTTCATTTTTCAGAATCATTGTCAATGGTTAGGCTAAGCTCGATCAACTCTAGGAATGCTGGATAAAAGCTGTGTTAATTTAATTTTTCTCGTTGAAGTTACAGTCTTAAACTAAAGCCTTTGAGACTTTAGACTTTAGACACTTCCTTGAAATCGGTTAAAACTTACCCGATTCCCACACAGCACATTAATAGGTTACAGAGGTCATGTGATAAAAGGGTGCAAAACTGAACAAACAGGGAAGCCCACTAACAATCTTAGTACATCAGAATGATGTAGCAAGACTGCGAGAACGATCAGAACGCGTTAAAAACACAGCAGTCACTCAGAAATCAAGTTTTACAGAAATTATTATAGCAACTACGCTAAAAATGGTTCGGCAAGTCGAATTCCACACTTTTGCTCTTGGGTTTTTTAGTCTTGATGCAGAATTCTAGAGTAAAATGTTCAATAGGTATGGAAATACGATTTAACATAAAGTTTGAAACTTTTCATTACAATTGCAACGACGCACAGAAATTCTCAAATCAGAAAAATTTTCTCAGTTCCCACAGCTTTACTTGGGAAGATTATAATCAGATAAATTGGTTTTATACTCTGAATTGACAATTTAAAATGGCCAGGCACTTTAAAGAGTCAGTAAAGCTGACGTTTCGAATGTTAGCTATTCGTCAGAGTGAATACATTAGCTCAGCGAATGGAAGAGGGCGAAAGAAAACAGGTTTAACGAAAATGTTTAAAATAGCGGCGGGATTTACTTGTATCAAACGCACCAGGAAGTTTATTGATTTAAATTGAAAGTATATGAAACGAAACTCACATCCTTTGTTTCATTTTCACGTTGTTTATTGAATTTTTAACACAGAAGTTACATGGAAATCAATGTTAAACCAGTAACAAAACATATCAAGATGGTGGTCATTCTATTGGCTAAAAGCAAAACATACTTAAGCTAATGCTTTTCTAAAGCTAATTCAATTTAATCAAAACGGTGTTGTGCGTGAAATGGACAAGGATGAGAAGCAAGACAGTCATTGCATCTTGAACGAGCAAGGTGACCTATGGTTGGTATTGTGTAATTTTGGTGTACAAATAGTCCTCTTTAAATTGGAGAGATTAAAAAAAAATTATCAGAGGGAAAAAAGATATAGCGAAAAGGGTTCACGAAGCCTCTTACTCGATGATGCAAATTAAATTTTAACCTTAAAAGCCCGTCATCTCTTAAAAAAGCACAGTGTACTATCTTTTTATATGTATATTTTGAAATAGACGTTGGTAGGGACATTTAAAGAAAGTTTGAAAAAACTGTTCTTTAACTTTTTTTTCTGAGGAATCACCTTAATCCTGTAGGCTATTCCATGAAATAAAGGGACTAGATCGAAAAGTTTAATTAGAGCGATGTTCAATTGAATATCAAAAGAGATCAAGGGTTACGTTGGCTTGCTTCACTATTCCTCATGATTGATCCTTAAAACTCGCGACACTTTCTCAACAAATTCTATGCGCGACTAACAGTAATCTTGACCTGGTTACTCCAGTTTTGACCACGCCTGAAATTGTTTGCTTGTGTTTATTTTTAGGCTCTCTTGTACTTATACCCGCCACTAATGAAACGTGCATACGTGCAGATGTTGGTTGCAGGTTTCGTTTTTCAGAATCATTGTCAATGGTTAGGCTAAGCTCGATCAACTCTAGGAATGGTGGATAAAAGCTGTGTTATTTTAATTTTTCCCGTTGAAGTTACAGTCTTAAACTAAAGCCTTTGAGACTTTAGACACTTTTTTTAAATCTATTGTAAATATCACTACTTTTAAAAAGAAGCTCAAGTTTATCTGGATACAGAAATTTACTAATGAATGATAAAACCGAGAGTTAAAGTTGAAAGTTGATTTAAAGGTAATCATTTTTATATGTATCTGGGAATTTTTCAGTTTTTGTAAATTGGCATTGAAAAGCCATTTATTGGAATGTCAATAAAGTTTGTATTGTAAGTGAACTTGCAGAAGCTTTTAGTAAATCATTAATAAGATAATGGAAGCACACATATGTATACTTCATTGATCGTTGGGCTTGATTTTCATTTCAGAACGTCTGAGTGAATGGTAAAAGCCTCCGAAGGCGTTCCAGATAACCCCTGTTTGGCCGTTATACAAACCGTTAAGACTGCATTGAAAACACCCAGAGTTATAAAACCACCAGCCTCCTCTCTGATAAACCTGTGCGCAGTGAACGATTGG